CTTGTCTTGAACACGTATCGTTTCAAACAATCAAGTTGAAACTTTCTCCAAATGCAGCAGCAACAGGGGAGACCCTTGTGGTGGACACGTTTTGGCAAGGTTTTTCGGTCTGGAAACTGAGTCCGTCAAACCAGCAAAAAACTGAAGAGAAGCATCCACAAAGCACGTAAAAACCCGAAATACAACTGCATTTGTAGTGTTCGTGTACAAATAGGTTCTGCTTCCAAAACACACCACCGGCAATAGATATGCTGCTAATACAATCACCTGGACTCCAAGAGTTACAAAAGCGTATCGCTGGTTTGTCCGGTCCATTGACCGATGGAACTTGCAGTTTGAAGCTTGCACAACACGTGTAGACCTCCTCTGAAGAGAGGACGCCGCGCATGGAGCATTTCAATGTGCGACTTTTTTCCAGTTGAAGCACTGGTTTTGGAGGCCAGGATATGTTTCGAAAGCTTCGACAGTCTCAGAGAGACGTTGGACAGTGACTTGGGCATCCATGTCTGCCTTCAAGCTGTTTTACGTAAACCCGGAACCTGCACAGCGCAATCCGTGCGCTTTGCGCGCGCCGCTAATTTGTTTTTGGATAATAATTAGTAAATGCGCGAAACGCCGCGCCCAGCTTTTTTCCCCCGCAACAAAAAAAGGAAGAAGCGAACAGGCTTCGAAGATCTCGTTGAAGAAGTTCCAGGAACCAGTTCGAGCGACCCCGCAAACTTCGTTTGTGCGTTGTCGTGCACACCAGGAAGTGGAGTCCACCGAGTCCAAACCCAAGCCAGAAAAAGCACAGTCTCACGCGCTTGCCAATAGCAACCTCCGGCCAAAAAGTGGAAAAATGCACTGAAGAAGTTAGACATGCCAAGCAGTAGCAACTCGCAACCCCGGTGAGAAAAGGCACTGCTCGAAGCAGGGAGAGCGAGGCACATGGCAACTAAAAGTGGCAGAAGCGGCGTTCACGCTTGATTAAGAGCTGGAAAAATTTGCTGACAGGCTCTCCAAGCAAACTGGCCGCACTCGGCTTCGGCAGGCCAAGAAAAACACCAGTTCGTTTCTACTGGTCTGCGCTTGACACTGGCCTGAACTGCATCCGTTTCTAGTGACTGCCACACCACGGTACCACGTGGCTCGTTGACTTTGCTTGTTCGTAGTCAGCCACAGCTTCTCCATTTCTAGTTTTTGGAGGTTTCAGTGCTCGCAGTGAGCGTGGCACAACTTTCGGCTGGAGTCGAACTCAGTCTGCTGATTTTGTTGTTTTTTAACTTCCTCCGAATTGTCGATGGGAAAATTGGAATCCATCCAGCTGGGACATAATGTTCTGGGAAAGGTAGGTGCAGCAACAGCAAATCCAGAGAAGCGCCCACACCATGTGAAAGCACAAACAGAGGCTTCCGAACTGCACGTCAAGCTCCAGCCGAGACCCTGAGCAGTTGTGGTAGTAGTAGTAGTAGTGGTAGTGGCAGTAGTTGTCGTAGTAGTAGTAGAAGTAGTTAGTAGTAGTAGTAGAAGTAGTAGTAGTAGTAGTAGTCGTAGTAGTAGTAGTAGTAGTAGTAGTAGTAGTAGTAGCAGAAGTGGGAATGTAGCAGCAGTAGTAGTGGTAGTAGTGGTAACATGATTTCATACGCGAGCCTGGAGGGCCCAATGGTTGCACATAGGAAAAAAGGTAACTTGATGGTTTTCGAAAGTAAAACCTTTGGTGCTTTGCTTCAGTGAGTTGCGCTTGAGTAGTTTAGAGTTGGTACAGAGTGTGCGAACATTGAACTTTTCCATGCCGCGTTTGAAGTCACCGAAAGTCGCGATGATCCACCTTGCCAGGAGTGCTCGGTGTATCAGGCCGGATGCACAACTTTGTCTCCGCATACATGTGCTCATATGTGTACGGTTTGTAGGCATGCGCGTGTGTACAAAAGTAGCTTTTGAGTCGTCTTCAGCAATGTTTGAGCGAAAACGTGCGACCCCGAGTTCTGGCTCGGAGTTCACGTGAAAAGCGCTTTCGTGTTAGTTCGCTGCTCTCACAGCTGTGGGACACTTTATCGCACGCAGGCAAAGGGAGCCAGGAGATGCCAGGTGTTTCCAGCAATGACCGATCTCCGATGCCTTTCCCTAGGCCAGGGAGATAATCAAAGTCGTAGTGATGGTTGCCAATGGCCGTGGTCATTGTTTTTGTGTCGTTCGTGCTCATAGTCACTGTCAATGGACGATGTCCATGTTTTCTGTGACATCTTGCATGTGGAAACCACAGATTTTCGGCCAATCGAGCTCTTGACAGGGAGCGTTGCGCTGGATGAATAGAATACGCATGGTACCTGGACAGAACCGCTGAGTCAAACTTTGTGATGACTGGCAGTTGAGATGAAGCATATTGCAAGTTTCCATGTTCCACACGTTTTTTCAGCACGGGAGGGTGAACTTTGCAATTGGATTCCACTCATTTTTCCCGATGGACTTAATGCTCGGCCAGCAGGTCGATTGAAATTCTGTCAGAAATGTAAGTTCTCATTCCCGACGAAAGTTTTGATGCAGGCAACAAAATTTAACCGCTGGGGGGAGCCAATAGAAGACGCATCGTTCGGAGTCATTCGTGAGCTGTGCAATGGATATTTGTGGTTACAACAATTGTCGAACTTCAAGCAATTCTGGCTCATAGGTGCGGTGGTGTCGTTCATCAGTCCAAACTCGTCGCATGTTTTGTGGCAGCAAATTTGTGCATACATCTCAATTACAGTTCTGAGTCATACAGTGTCCAGTCCACAAAACCGATGCCACCTGTCTTGCTGTGTCGAATTGAATCTGCAGCTTTAACATACATGCCTCGCAATGCATGTGCGCTGCATGCGGGAGGTCATAGCTGCTTGTCCTTGCAGTAGCGTTTGAGCGAGGGTTTATGATGGTGGTTGAAGGCGATCTACACGGCTGGTATCCCCAGGCCTCCGCCTTGGGACGCAGCGAAGCAGCGAAGAGTTGATGTCACAATCCTGCACAGATTAGCAAGCTAACTGTGCCTTGTCCCCAATGCCAGAGCCTTTCCGGGCTCAAAGTTAAACCAGAAGCCGGTAGTCGGTTTGTGGCAAAATGTGGCTCCGGGTGACTGGCACTGCGCTGTGCCTGCCGCTGTTGCCTTTGTGTGCCACAGCTTTCGTGCAGGCTGTCCCTCGTTTTTTTGCAGGACAGTGCATTCGAGTGACTCAATTCCTTCCTGCAGGCTCCAGCCGCGCGCAGCACGGTCACGCCGCGAGTGGCTCCTCGAGCTACCGTGCAGAGCCACGCAGTGAAAGAGACACACCCAGCGGCTGTGCCTGTGGTGCTTGCTTTGGCAGGCCAGCTAACCGACGGCAGGGCTTGCTACTGATGCATGTTTCCGTGACGGCCTCGTAATGCGTCAGGTGCTGCAGCATTGGCAGGACCTCTGGGGGAAGCCTGCAAAATCGTGAATTGACCTCGAAGGTAGTCCCGGGTTGTCGTCCCTTTGATCTCCGAGCTTGTGGCAGGCGCTGGGGCAGCACGTGCCCGGAACACGAAGACAGCACGTCGGGCGAATCTCGTGGCCACCCGCCCAGATCAGGCGCTTGGATGAGATCAACGTTTGCAATCGCTTCCTCAGGTATATAGAATGTATACAACTCAAGGTTCATATTTGTCAAGAAGTCAAACAGATGGAGATTCGCAACCACACCGGAGAGACAGCTGACAGGAGGAAATTCAAGGGGTGCGCAAGGGTGGGCATACTTCGTCAGCGGCACTATGTCTTGAAACTTTTGCGCGACGGGTTTTCATTGAGACATTCGAATCCTCGAAGGCGCGAGTAATTTTTAGTCACCATCGTTGTTGTTGCTTTTCTTTAGCTTCATGTCTGATGTTTCTACTGCCGCACGGACGGACCGAAGCCGCAAGTCATATCAAGCTATTGCACGACCTCGATCTGCGCGGCTCGCCGCATCGCTGCTTCGACATGTGGCGTGTGCAAGCTCATCAAGAGCTTTCATGGACTGTCCAGCCCTGCGAGAGCACCCGCCATTTCGTCTAAGTCCTTTGTTCGAACTTTCACCCTTTCCGTCCTGATTGATGGCCCTTGAAAAATTGCAGGGACCAGGAACGAGAGAGAGACAGAAAGAGAACGAAAAAGGCCTCAGCTTAGTTGTACACAACAGGAAGAAGAGAGAGAGAGAGAGAGAGAGAGAGAGCAAGAAGGCATGCCTGCCTTTGGCTGTGTGGAAGAAGAGAGCAAGGAGGGGTCATACCCCTACACCATAGCCCTGTCAAAAAAAGAGAGCAAGAGAGTCAACAGCAGAGGAAACGTCAGACAGGGGAAAGATCAGAGTCATCTGAGACTTGTCTGTTGTTGATTCGAAGAATGGGAGGATGGGGTAGACTTAGGGTTCCGAACCTTCGGGTGTGTCTGACCACCTGTGGCCGGAATGCATGACGAAGAAGGGGAGAGAGAGAGAGAGAGAGACAGTGGTTTAGTGTCGAGTTCTGATAACGACTTTTGTGGTTCGCTGCACTGTCTCACGCTTGGTCCGGGTATCCACAAACACTGGGGGGCCCATGTGGCCAGGGGGCTTGACACGCTCCTTTGCCCCTGTGGAAGAAGAGAGAGGCCTGGTCACAGAAAGAAAGAGAGACGGAGCCGCAACCTTTGGAAGCTTCTTTCAATATAACGCATATATGCTCGGAGTTGAGATGGCCTTGCAGGCAATTCCATGGTGGGACCGGATGTCCAGGCCGACCATCGAGCCCGGTATCGGCATTTGGGCGGAAAAGCTCAACATGACAACCATTTTTGAGGAAGAGGAAGGCAACGTTAGGACAGTTCCAGCAACAATTCTGTGCGTAAAGCGCGGTGGCAACATGATCACTGACAAGAAGTGGCCTGAAAAGCATGGACACTACTCCGTGCAAGTCGGCTACGAGCGATACACTCCTGATGAGAGCCTTGAAAGCAAGGGTTTGTACAAGTTGTGGGGAACTGACCCGCGGCAGCTCATGCCTATTGTAAGCGCATGGTACAATGCAGTTGTACCATGAGACGCACTTCGGGTTGATAGAGGAAGCTTTCGGCTGAAATCTATGTCTTGGCAAGGAAGGAAAAGAACAGCAAGAAGGCGTTGCAGATTCAGCGATTGGCACGAAATGAGTGCCCACCTCTGAGAAAGATCAAGGACTTCCGCATCAGGCTTCGGACCGACCTCCTCAGATGTGGTTGTTTTTGCTGTCGATCTGCTGAATTTTCCATGCCATGCCATGCCATGCCGCTTTGCAGGCCCCAAGACTGGGAGAAGTACGAGGTCGGACAGAAGGTCTGGCCGTCAGATTTCCTCGAGGAGGGCGATACAGTCGACGTGCACGGTCGCTCGGAGCGTAGAGATGCGTTGCATTCTCGCAGCCAATCCTGCATGCTTCTTGATGGTGGCACGAAGCTGAGGCTGGGCGAAAGGAAAAGGCTTTGCCGGTAGGATCAAGAGATGGGGCGGCAAGCGCGGTCCGATGACTCATGGTTCCAAGCACCACAGGAGGGACAGGGTCACCTTCAGTCACCAATGCGGGTGCAAGCAGCACACAATGTCGCAAGGCGAAACTTTATTCATTTGCGTGGCAGGAGAGAAGGTTCCATTGGTGCCGCACGCCCCAAGCGTGTTCTTCCTGGAAAGCATAGGGCCGGATGGCAGGGTGTGGTGCTGAGATAAGGTACTGTCACAGGCACACAACAGTGTACAGACTCTAGACGGCATGATCTTTCACGGAAGATGGCTCCAGGTGTCTGCAAGAGTATCGCCCACAATCTAAAGGTTATCAAAATTATGGACCGCATCGATGAGGACCGCCACCATTGCTCGAGCAAAGCCGCTGAGACTGTGTAACAGCAGTGTATCAGTTGTTTTCTGCACGGTGCTGTCTGTTCAGGACAACATGCCCGAGTCCATCATTGTGGTGAAGGGCTCCGTTCCGGGCTACACAGCGCATTGGGAATCTGGTGGATCCTACGTCTGGTTGCACAAGTCCAAGAACCGACATGATGGACGCTTCAAGCGCGATCCGGTTTGGCTGTGGTATTACCACAAGGGCGAGGATGTGGATCCTTTGGTGCCCATCCAGGACAAGGCATGGACGTGGAAGACCATGTTCGGCCGCGACATCCGCTGGATCACTCACGAAGTCAAGAAATATTGGCCAGACGGTTTCCCTGGGTATGACCACATCATGGATCCTTTCTACGATGATTGCGACCCACACATCGCGCTGAAAGCGCCGGAGTGGTAGGACCGATTTGATCCGATGGGATTCCGCGAAACGACGACGAGTCAAAAGCTGTCCCGACCGCGAACTGTTCTGTGAGTTGGATAGAGAGACTTGAAGCCACAGCTCCTCTTCTTGAGTGCCAAGACTTTAAGGCCCGCTCCGCGGAATCCTGGCTGCAGGCCGGATTTTGTGAATACCTACGAGCTTGGGCCGTGAGTTAGAAACTGCGAAGGTCTTTCCTGATGGGCTCAATCGGCTCGGTCGGACTCCCAGACGCACATGAGAGTTGCCCAGCGAGTTCGATTCAGGAATAGTCTGTTCCAGCAGAAGTTTGTGGATATCAGATGTTGTGGTATAAATGACGAGCCTCAGCGTTTCTTCAAATGCAAACGCAACCTAGAAACGAGGCTGTCGGCCTCGTCGCACCGGCTTCTTCTTGGTGGAGCCCAGCAGCTTCAAGAAGTACATGTATGAGGCTGCTGCAAGAGTGGAACGGTGAGCCTGGGAAGGTAGCTCATCAAACCCGTATGACCGTATGAAGTGGACGCTTCCTGTGTACTACTTGTGTCTGACGTGACAGGCGGACGAAGGTCCCATAAAGCCGCCTCTCGTTCCGAAAGGTCCAGTGGTAGACCAAAGTGGTTCGAGCCTTGGTGCGGTCGTCTTGCATGCTCAAGCCAGCCGGCCAAATCAGGACTGGCTGCAGTTGGCTCGCAGCAAGATTGTATGAGGCAAGCCGACTGGCCAGACGACGCTGGAGAAGACAAATGGTGAGATGCCCAATGACAAGGATGTGATAAGCACCTGCTCTGCGTTGAAGATTCTGTTTGGTCTTGTGCTGTGTTGGCCGTACGAAACTAGCTGCACGACTGAAACGTTCCGACGAGAAGGACGTTGTGCCCTCAATACCTCAATGGTGCCGCATTTGTGACGCCAGATGATGGTGCAACAGGACCTGGAGCGAGTTCCTCTCGGTGCAAAGGCATTGTGCGAGCAGTTGGCCACTAGTTCCGGTGGATATAAGTCTGGTGTATGCCCGTGGCCGTCGATGGAGGCTCCACCGGGAGAGTTCCCTCCACCGAAAGGGCCCGCGAGGCACCCACTCAGAATCCACGGAAGTTCCGTTTCAGATCTGCCATGTGAGGATATCTCACAGCGATGGGTATGCAGCCTCAGACTCTTAACTTCCGATCTCCCATGCGAAGCATTTGCTCTTTGCAGCCTTGCTGTCTCAGGCCCGTCGAGCATAAGATGGATCAGGAATCTGAGCAGGAGTGCCGTAAACCCTTCAAGGGGCGTTCTTGGTGGTGTTGGCATCGTGCAAGAGCCCCTTGTGAAGGCTGAAAAGGAGTTGGAGGATGATCTAGCCGACACGGAGGACATGGACCAGGGGGATTTGCAGCTGGATTGAAACATTAGTATGTTGCCATCTTCAAGCTGGTTGTGAGAGTGTGTTGTCAGTTGTTCGTGGTTCGAAAGTGTTGGCACCTGCCTAGGAAAACTGCTGAAGCCAATATGGTGGAAGACGATGCAGGCAGCTGACGATGGCAGGCTTTCGGTTCTTGGCCGGCGCTTCTCAGACGACGTCGATTATTGGCCGCGACATTTGCGTCGCTCCCTGCCAACAATGCCTCACTGCGAGGTTTCAAAATGAAACGCATCTTCAACAGCCTTGTCGACGCAATGGGCTTCTCCCCTTAAAGCACCAGAACATGTTCTCATCACTCATCACGGTTCAGTTAAAGCTTGAGACAGAAGAAGCGCTCGAGCGAAGTCTTGTGTCGCATTGGCCGAGCGGTATGCTGAGGTTGCATGACCCTGCCTTTTAAAGCCGTTGCGGCTGGCCTGAACGTACACTTCAGCAGCAAAGAAGTACGGAACACCACAGGCGACGAAGAAGTACAGAACACCACAGGCGACGATGCGGAGCAGGGGTAAACGCCGATGCTTCAGCTGGACGCTGGAACAGAACTTGTACCACGTGGCAGCAGTTTCCTCGGCTTCTCCCAGCCATGGCTGCTTCGCCCGATACATTGCTACAGAGATTGCAGGCAAGGTCTTGTGCAGCAAGGTGATGCTTTGCCATGAAGGGCCGTTGCCCGCAAATCAAAGCGAGAAAAAGCCTTAGCTCAGCCACTTCAGACTTCGTCTGAAGCCGCTTTTAGCAGGAGCTGACGGTGGAGGACCCGGCAGCTGGTTATCGAGCTCTTCATGCGAAGCTCAAGAAGGAGGAAGACTTCAAGGACGTGAGCCTGAAGAAGGCAATGGCGAGAACAAGTCAGAACGTGAAAGGGCTCCAGATTTTGTGTTGAAAGTTCCGTTGAAGCCAGGTGCAGACGGCCATTCAAAAGATGCGGACGCTTCGCGGCATCTACAGTGCAGGGCGTGTCCACTTGGAATGCTTAGAAAAGCTTTGTCGTCTGTCTGTCTGTCTGTCTGTCTGTCCGTCTGTCTGTCTGTCTGTCCGCATGTATGTGTGTACGTACTTACGTACGTATGTACGTAGGTATGCACATATGCATGCATGCATTGTTTGATTGCTGCGAAGAGACGTTATCATCCGGGTTGACCCGGATCGTTTCATGGATGTGCCTTGTTTCGCAGACAGTTTGCAATGACCTAGTGTTTCTTACCGACTTAATTCGGTGGCAGTTCACTTGGGCAAGGCTCAGGACCGTAGCCGTTATCAGACTCTGTTTTGCGATCAATCTAGTTCAGAGTCTACTCTTGCTGATGACGGAGTCCTAGCCGTGCCAACCGCGGCTGACAGGACTCAAGCATGAGTCGTGATACGCATCTCTTTCTTTGCCAACTCTGCTGGTGGCCGTCCTCTTTTGGGTTTGAGTACCGGGGACAATCTTCTCTTTGGCTGGGCGGAGGATGTGCAGAGCACAGCATACCCGGGCACTTAGGCCTGTCCTCTGTTTTCCTTGACCGTTGCAAAGTGACGACTTTGCAGCCAGGAAAGTGAAAGTGAACGCATGCATGCTGGATTCATGTACGTACGTATGTATGCATGTATGTAAGCATGTGTGTGTACCTGCGCGTATGTAGGAATAGATGTGCATGTTTGTCCCTGCATGTGTTTCGGTATGCAGGGTGTGAATAATACAGACATCCGACTGCACCTGGTTTTCGGATTCATCTGTCCAGTCATCGCCGAGACTTTTGAAGCTGCATGTTTTCTTCTGGATACTGCAGTCTCTGCAAGGTGGGCTTCATTCACCAGGATACCATGGTAAAGCGGACATCGTGTATATGTCTGTGTGCGTATCCATACAGCGCACACAGCGTGCAACACCGTTAATAAACTGAACAATCATGCTCTTCTTAAGCCGCCGTGTCTGATCAGACCGTGGTTGGTGCACCTTGCTACAAGCTGCAAAAGTCCGTAAACTCTGCTATGTATGGGAACACTTACATGTTGCTAGGAATACAAGCTACACACTCATGCAATACGGATCGTAGGATCGTCCAGTTCGCTGCTCATTCACGGTGTTCCCGAAAGCCTGCCACCTTTAGCATGGTGTGTTAAAGTAGTGCAAGACATAAAGGTTTCCGTGCAAGAAGCCCAGATTATTTGGTGCTGGGAGTGTGCGGTGCCCATTGCTGTGACTACCAAAGTCTCAGGAAGCTTCGGGTGCACCTGCGCTAAAAAATGTTTGAAACCGGACGGCCTCCGAGCCTCCATGCAGGCGTATTTGCATACGGCTCGTGCACGTTGTTTCTTTATGCATGTCAATGGCCGGATCCGTGAATGTATACATAGGTATGCACATGCGGGCACACGGAGCCTGCTTGCTTTTTGATTTGCCTTGCCGACCTACCCTCCCCGGCAATCGTTTCTTTGCGCCTCAGGAGCGATGCGAGTCTTCTTCCGGCCGTACCTGCTTTGTTTAGCGCTAGGCCCAGCCTTGTTTGGACATTTCTGAGGGTGCACTGCTCGGTTGAGCAAGTTCGCGCCTGGAAAGTCAAACAGTCTGATCTTCGATGGTTGTGAGGTGCCTCGGATGACGGCTTCCTATGCGAGTGGTCGTGTCATGGTGCACCTTTGCGGGCCTTTCAGGGCACTGGAGGTATGCAGTGTGTCGAGGCCTGGACTCTGTTGCCGCGAATTGGTTGCAAGTTGCTAGCAGTTCAAGTCTTCCCGCCCGCGAGATCACAGAAGACCTCGTCATTGCAGGCGACAGCGCAGGCTCGCCTCCAATTGGCTGCACTTTCAGAGTTGGCAGCAGTGGAGGGATGCTGATGTATGGAGTCTAGACTTTGCAGGACTGCTAGAATAGACGCCGGCCACTGAGTCGCTTCCAATGTGCATCGGAAAGGATTGATGAGGATGTGGTCGCGGACCTCTGGAGAACATGTGCGGGACGTCCAGGAATCGCTTTGTCGACATGTGCAGAATGTCAACACGGAAGACCCAAGCAAACTCAGTTTTTCGAAGCTGCTGTTCCTTGTGGCAGGTCGCCAAGAGGTATGTGAAAGCGCTGGCGATTTCTGGCGACAGCGTCTTCACAGGCGACTACGATAACTTGGTACAGCAGTGGAACCTTGCGACCGGTCAGCGCGAGGCACACTCCGAATAATTCTGCTACACCAAGTTCGAACGTGGAGGTTGATTTTGGTTTCTGGAGATGCACCCGCTCAAGAGTTGCGAAAACACATATTTAGACGAAATCGTTTCTGCTCAAAGGATCTGTGGGTTTGCCTAACATCTTCGGGCAGCTCCCACCTTCGTTGTTACGTAGTACGGAGGGCCAACACAGCTCCCACGTTCTCAGCAGGATCCGATATCCGACCAAGACGCCCGTTGTCCTTCACAAAATACAGCATCAAGGCCACATATTCGACCAAATCCTCGCACACACAGACCAGTCCCACCGAAGCTGTCAGAGCATTGACGGCCCAACCTTGACTCGGACACCACATACACAGGGCACCAGCTAGCTTATGGGTAATGTTTTGAGAGCAACCTCGAGTAATCTAGAGAGAACTGTATGTTTTACGAGGCGTTTGTGTACAGTGCAGGTGCGGCTAACGCTGGCATTAAACCTGGTCGTCGTAGAGTGCACTTGGGTCAGCAGTGCGCCGAAACGTTGGTTCTCACGGGCCCCGTCGAATCGCGGCCGCTTCTTCCGAACCCTTACTTGCAATTTCAGGGCCGGGAGTTTACCGCTCAGTCTGCAGATGTCTGCCGTCAGTTAGTAGGGCCAGTAGGGCTGCCGACGTGCAAGAAGCTCCCAGCCACCCGTGTGTTTGCCTACTCACACTAATGGTCCTGGTGTCTAGGGACGCGAGTGAGCTTTCCATAGGGCCGCCCCAGAAAAAGTTTGCTGGACACCTGGCTTTGGCTTGCTTTCGCATGATTTGTCTGCTTTCTGGGCTTGGCGGGACCTTGCGTGGTTCCTGCACTTGAAATTAAATTAGCCGTGCCACGTCTGAGCAATTGATTCTATTCAGGATCTTGTCATATTAAAATTATTAAAATCTGCAGAAGCTTCTGCTCTCAGAGAGCTGAGGGCTGAAGGTACGAGAGCAGCGGCACCTGTCAGTGCCACTTGCGGCTTTGACTGCCCAAAGGCCCCAAAGTCAAGAGTGTCTTCATGTATCGCGTCATCACAACCACCCAGACCATCTTCGGGGTCCTATGGAAGTCACTGGTCTGGCTTGTTCTCGTGTATATGAGTCTCAGGCTCATTCTCGTTTGAACCGAAATACACAAGCAATTCGAGCTGCAGGCAGTCTTCACAGGACACAAGGCGGGCATCGTGTCGCTGGCGGTTTCAGGCACGCTCCGAACAACGAAGCATGACACTCAACCGTTCCGCCTGTCAGCCTCTCTGCACTGGTTTGCGCTCTTGAGACCTATTCCAGGTGACTACATTGTATCTGGTGGTGGGGATGGTGCAGTTCTGCTCTTTGATCGGAGAACGGGCAAGGTGGGAGATCTTGGAGGGTTTTATGTTGCTGATGGGTTTCCATTTGCCTTGCCAGCGACGAGGCCATCAACACCGAGAGCTCTGAGGTAACTGCAGAGCCTGTGCCAAGTCTGCAAGAAGAGCGGTTCAGTCAGTGCATGTGATCCACAAGCCGGTTAAGCAGGCAGCACTGCTCTACAAGGCCAGGCGAAAGCATGCTGGAGGGTCTCTGGGTCCCAACGTGAATTTCGGCATATTTTCAGCAAAGCTGCTGTTTCCACTTGGACAGCGCTCTCCGATACTTTGTCTTGGACAGTGCTCTCCGATACTTTGTCTTTTGTCGGCTTAGGGGGAAGCGTGGCTTGTTTCACGCAGGCTTGGAAAAATATCCAGCCACTTCTCGCGTGATAATTCTTATTCTGTATCATGACTACGGGTAAGCGCATATGCAGTCACCTGCACCCTTAACCATTCGCTTGAAGGTAGTTGTCCAGCAGGTGATCCTTGCCGCTTGACCCGTTACGCCATGGCCAACGTGCCAGAGCTCACGGGTGTTTGCGCGATCCGGGTTCTGTCAGCTGTAACAGGAGAATTGATCCTTGAAGCGCTTGTGGACGAGGCAGACTTAATCTCCACGCCTAACTTCCGTGATGATCTTCGCCGGTACATCCAGGCCAAAACTGGCATTTCCTCCTTCAGACAGCAGCTGCTCCTTGAAGACAGCATCATCCCGGAGGCATGTTCTTGGGAAAGTCTTGGCCGACCACAAGAAATCCGAGTAACCTTTCAGCAGACCACAGAAGACTTCGGAGATGAACTCCTGGTTGCAGCCGAGATGGGATATACCAAGAGAGTCCAACAAATCCTTGAAAGCTTTCAAAACCCGAATTGCATCAGTCCCGATGAAGCTAAAGAATCTGCAGTCTTCAAGGCTTGCAAGCGGGGCCACCTAGAGGTATTGGAATTACTTCTGAGGGCCGGTGCTGACTTGACCCACCCGGCAAGCGATGGAAAGACACCTCTGCTGATCGCAGCGGAGCATGGACAGCTAGCCCTGGTTCGGAGGCTGGTGGAGGCAGGGGCTCACACTGACTTGGACAAGGAAACGCAACGTGGCCACACCCCTTTGATTATGGCTATTTTGAACGGCCATTTGGACATCATTCGCTACTTGATTGAGGCTCGTGCTGACAAAGAAAAGGCCTTCAAAGACAACGATCCGCCGCTCTTGCTTGCCGTCGACGGTGCGCCAGCTGGAGGGCGGCAGGAGGCGATCCGGTGCTTGCTCGATGCAGGCGCCAACATGGAGAGGATGAACTCTCGCGGGATGTTTCCACTTCTCATGGCAGCCCATGAAGGGCAAGTTGATATTCTCTGCCAGCTGCTAGAAGCTGAGGCCAATGTGAATCAGACAAATTCGGATGGGCTGACGGCTTTGCTGGCTGCAGTCGCTGAGGGTCACGTGGACGTCCTAAAGTCTCTTCTCAAGGCCCGGGCCAACCCATCTACGCCTTTGAAGAATGGCAGCACGCCCTGGTCGATTGCCAACTCCATGAAGTATCACCGGCGCCGTGATATGGAAGCGTGTGTCAACCACGCAGAGATCCTCCAATGTTTGCGAAGAGCCGGAGCGCAGGACGAGCTTGAGCAGAGCTGAAAAAAGCCATGCACGGCACGTTCTGGATTCTCAGACTTTGTGGAGCCACGTCCGGCATTCCGGAGGCAAATGGCTTCGTCTGCAGCCTTGTGCTCACTGATGATCGGTTGCTGCTGCCGGACAGGGATGAGGAGAAGGCCATGCAGTGTCTGCAGTGACGAATTGCTGAACCGAAGTTGCCTGCCAGGCAGTGAGCATTCGCCTCTTTACGCACACGGGTGACCTCGTCCCGGAGAACATTCGAGACAAGAGGCCCTGCGTCGTGCTTCGGAGGGTGAAGCAGCTTTCATTGATAGTTCTCGTTCTTGATCTGCTGACCCATCAGGACCTACAAATGCGGAATGCCGGTGTGGCAAGTTGCGTCTGTTGGAACGTTCATCTATGCGCTGTGTCGTGACTTCACCGTGCCTCGGCACTGGTCACTGGCTAGCGGTCAGCGCCCTTGCAGTTGGAGGGCTTGACTGGTGCTACACCTTTCTTAACCTGCTTCACGGGGTCCCAAGCAAGGCCACAAGGCCCTTCCCAGTGCCTCGATGGGCCACGTGAATTGCTCATAGCTTCCCGGCAGTGGCTTCCGGAGCCTCCGAGGTGAAGAAGTTTGCGGCAGGATCACGGCAGCTTCTGCAGACAATCAATGTGAAGGCCATCTCGAAGGAGGCGAAGAACCCCTACGCCATGAAGGTGAGCCAGGAGAGGCAGCTGGGCAGCACGTGATGCCAGGGCGATGGCGGGGCTCCAAACACTCAGCCAAGGATCTTTGTGGGCTACATCTCCTCCGGCGGCTTTCCCGAGCATTGAGACACAGAGTCTTTGTAGGCACCCGAACAACAAACTGCCGAACACTAATCAGTCTCAGCATTGTCCGGAGGTTTCAGCTAGGTCACGATCATGCGGATAGGTGTAGCTTGGCCCAGCATGGGCTCTGTCGTAGTGCTAGGCTGTGCTACCCGACACTTGTGTCGCGTGCTGAAGTTGCCCAAGTTATAATTATCTTGCAAGTGTCGGAGGCAAATAATGGATACCCACCACAGCTGAAGGTGAGATTGGCATATTCTCGACAGAAGATGGCCGGAGACAAATGGAGAAAGCCTTCGTGGGACACCAAGGCACGTTTGTTGACCCTTGCCAGTTTTCTGTGGCACTTCAATGCTTGCATAGTCTGTGTACACTGTGTGCATGGGCCCTCAACAAGACCAGTCTACTTGCAGCGGAGGCACAGTGAACAGCTTCTGCCTTGTCTGAGAAGCCGCTTTCAGAGCGACTGTTTGCATTTGCTCTTATGGCGGTGCTGGTTGTTACCGGGTTGATACCCGAGCTGTGATTATTGAGAAAAATGATTGTAGCTGGTAGGCACCAGCTTGGCGCTCCCAAGGAGCCTGTGCGACTGCCCAGCTGCGCAGCGGGCAGCGAGTTTTCCGCTTGCTTGAAGATGTGCATTTTGCACAAACGGAGGTGTCGAGGGATACTGTAGATACTACTGTTACTCCCATCTTCAGCTCGACCAGGCATACCGACAAAAAGCAAGAAACGGCTTGCCGTATACTTCGAAGGTTGTTCAGCTCGACTTGACGGGTCCATAGCTGTGTCATGTAACTTCAAAGCGGCGATCGGTAACGAGGCAACTGGCACCATGCCCACGGGTCCTGTCCACTCTGGGTTGCTTCCCTGCCATGGTGTCGCTCGCTGAGTATGCCGGGCTGCGTAATTTCACGGCGGGTGCTGGGTTGGGTGTCGTGCTCGCTTTTGCTTTAGAAAGGTTCCGACGACGCTTCGTCCGCAAGCGAGAAGCTCCAATGGTGTTCGAGACATGTGTCGTCCACAGACTGTCCTCGTACGAGGGGCTGAAGTATAAGCTGCTCGTTTCGCTACCACTACAATACCACACGGCTGCCTCGCAGACACACTATCCTGTAGTTTATGCTTTCGACGCGGAACCGTACCTTTTTCCACTACTGGCTACTGCCGCACGTACGGAGCATTTTTTCAAGCGAACAACTTGGTATCCTGACCTAATTGTCGTTGGGATCGTCGCCGACATCGAGGAAGACTTCTGCAATCATGACAGCTCGATCAAAGTCAGGGGCGTTTGGGATGCTTTGCGTCCGACTCGTGCGAGGGATTACCTGCCGACCGCTGCCGAGAGTCCCTGGGGTGCTCCAGGGGCTGTTTCTTTAAAGGACATCTCAGGCCATGCCACGACCTTTGTCCGCTTCCTTGCCTCGAAGATCGTTCCCTTCGTTGACGCTACCTACCGCACTCTGCAGCAACGTGCTTTGATCGGCAAATCCTTCGGCGGGAGCGGCGTGGCTCACGCCATGCTGGATGATGTCTGCTCGACGCTGTTCCAGTATTTCCTTCTGGGTTCGCCATCTCTGGCCTGGGATGACAAGGCCTTCTTTCGCCTGGAGGAAGAGACTTGCAAGTCCAGGGCACCTTTAGCCGCACGTGTCTATGCCTCCTGTGGCTCGAAAGAAGAGGCACAGATGCAGACTCTCCGCGACTTCAAGAGTGTTCTGGAAAGCCGAGGGTATTCCAGCCTTTCCGTCACGTTGGAGGTTGTGGATGGAGAGGACCATGGATCGCTGTCATACCCCTTCGCTTGTAGAGCCATGCGCTGGCTGCGGGATGAGATGTACAGTCTACAGAAGCAGGAATCTTGAAAACTCAGTTCCGGCCCAGTCTTTGTGCTCGGTGACTCGGGTGTGATCTTGTAAACCGCCATTAATTGCGACATCTGTGGTAATCAGCTAGAGCCGATTTAGTGCTCACAACATGGAGTGACACTTTGGAGAGGACAAGTCTCTGCGGCTCGTCATCGACCTTAATGAAGGGAGATGGACAGGAAGAGAGAGCGTAGCCGTGTTTGATGGATGCATCGTTGCTGGAGCGCGCAGCAGCTGTCGGGAGCGTAGAGGCCTTTGCAGTTCTCCTGCTCTGTGTGCACTTTTGAGATCGATTTTAAAGGGAGTAAGAGGGTACGTAGAAGTCGGGAGTGAGGAGCTAATTAGTCCAGGCACTCACTCATTCTGCATCAACGAAAACGGCAGATCGTTCAACAAAAACAGGCCACTTGCTCAGCCAAGATGCCCCCAGCTTCAACCGGACTGACTATTACACAACCAGCTGCTTTGCCAAGCAAGACAATTCCTGGCCGGGGTCCTCCGATCTAAGCTAACCCTGACCTGCACCCGACCAGGACATGACCCGGCCGAACACAACCAGGCTAGCCGAACCCCGATCTAACCTGACCCAGTCGACCCGGAATCCGGCCAACACCATGCAAACACGCCGGACCCCAAGCTGAGCAAACCCGACCCAACCCATCTAGACGCATTCGATTTTGTGCCCTGAACATCACGCCGCGGTCATAGGAGATTGGTTTAGGAGGTTGTAAACGGGTGAGCCCGCAAGAAGCGGGTCTGGCGGAGTGGTGGGTTGGGTGGGTTAGGTTGGGTTACGATCACGATCAGGGCAGGTTTTGGGTTGGGTTGGGGGTTTAGGTTAAATCGGGTTATGTTAGGTTGGCTCAGGCTCGGGTGTAGCTTAGGTCAGGGTTAGATTGGTGGTTTGGGGTCAGGTTGGGATTGGAGATCCGCTGCGGATAAGGCTGCGGTGAGGTCTCTTGGTTGGGGCGGGGTTTGGTTTTGTTGTGTTAGATTAGGTTTGGTTAGTTTGGGAAAGGTTAGGGTCAGAGCTAGGTTGGGCCGAGTGAGAGGTTGGATGACACAGTGTTTTGATTAAGCAATCGGGCCTTCTTGGTAATGGTTGCCTAGTCGGCTGTGTTGGTTGCTCAAGCGGAAATCTTGGTTGAGGAAGCGGTCCTCTTGATTGAGTGATTTGCGCTTTTGGTTGTGCAACATATTTTGCCCACTCACTTCGTCAAGCCAGGCACAGTATGCCCTGGGCGCCGCGCTGCTCACGGGTTCCAATGGAGAGCAGGAGCCCGGCTGGACCTGAGCCCTTGGAGTCAGCTTGCGGATGTTTTCAAAGGACCTGCCCCGAGCAGCGAGCCTCTTCCGTGCGGCTGCCTTGCAGGGCCATCCGGCGGCACAGTGCAACCTCGGTGCGATGTGTGGCCAGGCCAGAGGGAGGGTGTGTGGGTCTCTTTCCTGCTGGCTTCTGCCAAACCTGCCACCAGGGCCTCGGCACACCGCAGGACAGCGCAGAGGCCAAGAGCTGGTATGAATCCGGGCTGCAGTCATTCCCGAGCAGGGGCGTGTCATGTCAACCGCATCTTCACAGCAAGGCCTTAAAGGAACAAGCCCGCCCGAGCTGCTCACTGTTTCGATGCCGAGGAGAAGTCTGCCGCACAGGGAAACCTGGATGCACAGTTCAATCTCGCCGTGGTGCATCTGACAGGCGGGTTTCGTCATGTGTTCCATGCACCCAGAAATCTAGAGACATCACCCGCCCGCTTTTGGACGAGGACCCTCGACGGACGCGCAAAGGGCCCGCTCTTTGGCCGCAGAAGCAGCTGCACGTGGCCACGAAAAGGTGCAATGGGCGTACGTAGTGTACCTCGTGCATCAATTGCACGACAGGAGATTGTCGAAACGTCCCTGTACCTATGCTGTTGCATGCGGGTGCTCGTGTACTGTCGCGGCTTTCTTGGATCGAGATTGCTTGCAGCCAGGCGAAGGCCTTGCTTGAGAAGTTGAGAACAGTCCCAGAAGCCGAGGTCTGCCGGGTCGTTTGCATTCTTCCGCTTGCTTGCAAGACTGGGGTTCCCTTTTCGTTACGTAGTAGCCATTTTGTCACAGCTTCGTGGATGAGCGTCGCCGTTCGTGCTGGCCTTGCCAGGGCGTGGCAGTGGGCGTGTCATCGCCAACGAAGCGGTTGACAGCCGCGCTGTTGGAAACGAAGACTTTGCTGCAGGCATTGCAGGCATGCTGGGTAAGTCCGGCTCGTTGAGCATAGACGGCCCTGTGCAGGGAACGCTCTGCCCCGAGCCACGGGCAGAAGCCTTCCTGCAGGATCTCCTTAATCAGCTGGAGGCCCGCTCTGGCTTTCGCCTGTTGCGCCATGCGGTCATGCCGCGCTTGTCCGAGGAGCTGCGAAGGGAGTTGCATCACTCCAAGGACGCGTTCCGTTTGCTGCGCAGAGTTTGCTGTTTGGACGCCCCTGCCATCCCGCCCACCCGGCCTGGATCCATGAGGATGCAGAGGAGACAGTGAGGAGTCGGCTCCAAGCAGAAATCGTAGATTGAAAAGGACGCCAGATTCCTCAGTTTACGGTTCGTCGGAATGGTTACCATACCCCCTGCGCGCTTGGCTTCTCGAAGTCAGACGCGTTTGACGCTTTGCTCTCGGTTGGTAAGTTGCCGCACCACCGACGGCTGACATCAGCATTTGTCCAGGGTAGCAGAAGAAGCTGTAGATTGGCTCATCGACGCACCGATCATGGCTTCCCCCAGCAACGACAGGATCTTGTTTTCCACGAAATCTTGTAAGAACGGGATGTCTCCACCCCATTACTTGCTTTCCTGATCGCATGTGCCGAGCGCATGGCCGGGCGAACACCGAAGGACGTTTCGCCGGAAGCAGCTCTCCTAGTTCACAACGTGCCTGTTCACTGACCGTTGCTGACGACTTCCGGCGATTCCCTGTGTAAGCTGCAGCTCCCGTGAGTCCGCGGTGCACCGAGGGTGAGCGACGAACGCCGAGAAGTGCAAGAGGAGAGGCGAACAGGCCAGCCTTGTCGACTTTGCATTTTGCGCGGCATCGTCAAAAATCCCCGCAGCTTCCCAGGCGCCCACCAGTGCCCTTCATTTCGGTGCCTTGACATGCGACTCAAGAGGGGCATTAGCAGTCAGTCACGCATGCGAAGGCAGGCAGGAATTGCTTGAAAAGGCTAGGGCTAGGCGGCTAGGGCGGCTAGGGGTGATCGATGGTGATCACCAGGGATCGTGTCTTCATGTCAGAGGGCCCACATCGCTCAGGTGGCGGTCCGCATCAGGCTGGCGCGATCAAGGGACTCCGGATTTCTGCAGGTTTGCACTGTATGCCAAGAAAGCCTTCGGTGAGGCCACCAGGGGGTTGATGTTGGCCATCTGCCAGGCCCAACCTTTCTCAAGAGCCAGTTGCTCTTTGGGCCAAGTCCTCTCCGAGCTCCCAGCGCGTCTGCTGTCATCGTGGATTCTTGCTCGAGGACGGGAAAGCTAGAGTTCGGGCTCTTCTGTGCAACAGGGGGTTATTGGTTTACGAGGCCTTTCGAGGCGCGGGCCTTGATCGGTTCTTGCCCTTCATTCGAGGAGTACGAATTCTCCCGAGTTTTCGGGCCGGAAGATGACAATCGGACCGTCTTTGATCAGATCCAAGATGCTCGCCTGCAGCGAAGTGATGGATGTTTTCAGGAACATCATGCACCCACGGGATGCAGAACAATGCCTAGACCGCCTAGAACCCACGACGTACAGGGTGGTGCGTAGCTCATTGCCCTAACTCTGATCAGGGCCCCACGCTGACTGCCAGCGTCTTCCAGGGTGTGAACGAAACGCTCTTCGCTTACGGCCAGCCGCGGCCCTCAGACTTGTGCGAAGTGATCCAGGAGGCATGAGCCTCATGCCCTGACAGTGATGTGTCAATGCGGACTCGTCGCATCAGGACCGGCAGCGGGAAGACACATACCATCTTCGGCAGCATCTTGGCAGTGTTCCACAGATGCTATCTCTTTAATGTCTCGTCATTGAAGTTTGTTATTTGTTTCGGTCCCATTTCGAGGCCGCAGCGAACCTGGGTTCCTGGAGCTCTTTGTCCGCCGCTTCTTCGACGTGGCGCCAGCCAAAGCCGCACTTTTCGCAGGCTGTGGCTCGACGTTGGAAGAGGTGCAGAACGCCGGGGAGATAAGCTAATCTTCCCCTCCCACTGGCGTGCACCAGCCCGCAGCTGTAACCTGCTTTCGAAGCCAAGGCTATGAGGTCTTGGGAGACTCGCTGACTGACCTGGTGGACCCTCGAATTGTATCTGTCGCTCATGACTGTGATTCAACCATTGCGATGCATTCCAGCTGCTCGAAGTACAAAGCCTCAGATGGTGCTGCCCCTGCACGTGTTGCACCTGAGGACTCGCGACGATTCCTCGCTGAAGGCCGGGAAGCAAGCGCTCGGGTTCCGCACTCTTGGAGGGTCATGCAAGCCGCCAAAGGCTCTGAGCATCGCGTCCGGTAGCTGACCGTCACTTGCTGACAATGGCTTGGCAGGAAGCCTGCATCACGAGGACATCGTGCACGATGAGCTTTTTGCTAAAACACAGCGTTGCAGTTATCAGACACTCGGCATCATGTTGTGCGAGATTTGCAGTCATAAGGAGGCCCTGGCTGCTGTAGCACTCAGGATTGTGCGCGTCCGCACGGCAGAGATGTGTCTCAGTCTGCTGAACAACGCGAGATGGAATCGCACATCAGGACGGGCTTGGTCGTGGCAGACTGAACCCAGGAAGCACGAGTTTGCGCACGATGTAACAGTCTCGGGACTGAGAGGCGTTTCCTCTTTCAACGAGGACTCTTCCAGGCCCTGGGCTTGGAGCATCCCCGTTTGTAGCGAAGTCTTGTGATTTTTCAGTACTGTTTGAGCATTTGGATCCTCAGTGTCGGCATAGGGGGACAGATCGTCGTTGAGTGCCTTCTTAAGGATGTCCGCAGACAAGACAGCTAGGTCGGAGGCAGATACATCTACTAGGGCGATGGATGGATCGGTAGGTCGGTCGACACACAAACAGGTGGATATTTGTATAGATAGATGTACATGTGTAGTTGTTCATTTCCTGCAGGCTTTCTACTCGGCGGAATGTCATTGCTCGTTTGCTCAGTTGACATGAGTGCAATCCTCAAACTGATTGCTTCAGTGCTGCTGGAAGACCAGACGTATTTCCTTTTCAGCCCTCCGTCCTTGCCTGCCTGCTGAACGGTGCCTTTCTAATGCGCACATTCCCCATGTCACCGGCGGTTTTCTGGGTTAATCTGGATAGAGGCTGGACCCTGTCCCTGTCCTTACGCTTAAAAAAATTAGTTTGCTCTCTCATACACACACAGACATGCAACTATCGTTACTAGCGCATTGATGCTTGTCGTCGCAGTGTGTGGACTTGTTAAGCTCAGTAATGTGTCAATGAGCCCAGCATCTATCTTTGTCGAACGAGGTCTCATGCCATTGTACACCTCTTCGTTCAGCCGCTGTGCTGCAAAGGCAAATCAAGACTTGTCGGCTGCAGACGAAGTAGACACCATGCCAAGAGACGAACATGCACAGTCTCGTAAGGAACCCTGGCTCCGATGGATGTGCCAGCATCGGCACTCTGACCCTCGTCGACCTGGCAGGGACAGAGAAGGACTGGAGAGACGTGACTTCTTCGACTTTCTTTCACTTTACGGGTTTGCTAAGACTTGGCTGGAGCAGAGCAGGAGCACGAGAATCCGTCAGAGAAGGGCCGCAAGTGCGCGCGGCTGCTGAACACCTCCCTGTCGTCTTTGACGCCTTCCTGAAGTTGGGCTTCGGATGTCTTGGCACAGCATAATGCTGGGGTTGCCCTGCATTCTAGCATGGGCATTTGTAGATGTCAGGGCTTTGTGGAATTCGTGCAGTCGAGGCAGGTATCAGATGTCCGAGCTGGAATTTATGCCGGCTGAGGAATCGCCTTCTCAGAAAGCTACAAACTGGCAGTCTTGGGGAATCGGAACGACGGCTGCCCGGATGCACAGGGAAGTTGGGCTTCTGGCCGATGAAAGTTCGCGCAGATGCAGGCATGCATCGCCCTTGCCGTTGCTGAGGCAGAGTGTTCTCAACAAGTGCTTGTGGGAGTACTTACGCCCGGGCTGTGGGATCGCGCTGGTCTTCTGTGCAAGTCCACTGCAGCCTCCTCAGGGCATGATTGACAGAAAGGCTGAGCAGCATCTTCAGCAATTGTTGCGAGTCATGTTTGTTGCATCTGGAATGCTCAAGAGTGATGCTCAGCAAAGGCTGCAGCATCGAGCTGCCACGCTGTCGACCCTCGCAATGGCGACAGCTACTTGGAAGGGAGGAATTGCGAGAACAATCCTGCACCTCGCGAAGAAGGGAGAGTCGGGACGAGAGAACAACAAGTTGGCCTGTCCACCTGAACTGCTTCATTACTCGTGTACTTCTTGCGCATTCAACGTCGGAAACAGTGTCTTAACATCGGATGGATGGCAGAGCAGTGCTAGCAGTCTGCAAAAACCTGCAGATGAGAGTCCCATCGCCCATCGCAGTCCAAGGACAGCAAGCTCATCCAGAGTCAGCGGAAGTCACAGTACGTGAACATGCCCAGCCCACGGCAGACCGGCAGAGCCCAGGCCATCATTTGATACGATCTCTGCGAGGATTTCTGCAGCGAGATCTCTTTCTTCGGTATCCTTTCAGAAGCTGAAGCTCACGTCCTGCCTGCCTTGCACTGAGATGTGTTTTGGTTGATCGATTTCCGAAACCACGTGCAAAACAGTCCCGGGGCGGCAGGTTTGACAGGTCCTGAGCCTTCCCTCCCAGCCACATGCCGCTCCAAGCATCTCGTGCTTGCTGAAACGCCCACGCAGGCTTCTTCGCCTTCACCTGCCGCAGCCGTGGCTCCTGCAGGTCCGGGCATCCGGGCTTGAGCTTAAGCCTGCGGCAAGAGGCTGGCTACTTCCCTGCTCCCGCTCCTCTGCTTCCACTCATGCTGCTGGACAGCTACCATGCCACTGGCAGCACTGCCACTGCTACTGCTGCAGTTGCTGTAACTGCGACTATTGCTGCAGCTTCCGCTTTGCTTTTTCGGAGCTACAGGCTATAGAAGCGAGATTTGGAGAGACTTGACATGATTCCATGGTCTCCCCTGTCCAGACTGTCGAACCGGGCCGAGTGCGCCGACTCCTCGGGGCGAGACGCCTAGGCACAGGGCGGGCAAGACCCTTCTTACGTTTCCTTCCCGGAGCTCCCTGGAGGGGTTCTGGTTGCTGGCACTGGTGTGCAGAATCAATCACCGCCAAAGCTCACCTCGCACTTTCACGTCGCCTTGTGGCTTTTCCTCAGGCGTCCAGCCGGTATGACACGAATGGCCGGGCAGGCCGTTTGTATGTTGTTGGCTCCTTTACGGTCCGTGTTTTGCCCGTAAACTCAGGATGTCCAGTTCCATATGTGTCTTGAAGACTAGCACTGGGCAATTTGTTTGGAGTCGCTGACGGCACCAAGGTGTAGGAGCTGATTGCGCGGTTAGTGTCATAAGCCGCTATTTGTTGGTAGGTGTTGCTTCACATCTGGACAGGAATCCTCGCGCCGGGAAAGAAGCAGCAGTCTGGACTTCTTTGGGTTTGCACAAAGCCGCAATCAAGTAGTACCTGCTGTTTCTAAACAGGTACAGGGTAGTATTTGCAATCTCGGTGTTCTTTTGCCATGGAGGCCGCCTGAAGTGCAGCCACTATTCGCGACCGTTGACTTGTCGTGCGGGGTATTGTGTTGTTTGGCGAAGACGAGGCTAGAGCAGCTTTCGGGATTGCAGCTGTGCGGGAACAGGACGGCCCGTCTGATGAGCTGTTCGCCGAAAACGAGAAGCTCCGAAGGATATTGCGTGCCCGAGAAGTGTGCTGTCAAGGGTTGTCTGCAAGGCTTGAATCAGGAAACATACAACCATCAAGGAATCAATCAACTAACCAAAACATCATAAGCGGAAAAGGGGCAGTCGTGCTATTGCATGTTGATTCGCGCTATGATTTGAATTGAGTCATGGTAAGAAGATTCTTGACCGCCTAGTTTGGCCCAAGTCCAATGGCTTCAGACCAGGGCCTGGCACATGGGTGGCTCCAGTTGCTGTCAGAGCTGCGAGCAAGTTCAGGTTCAGGTGATATCTACTCGCAATGGACTGGAAGTCCAGTTCGGGGAGCAGTATGTGCAGGACGTGCAGCGCACTCCGGATTCTGGCAGCAAGAGCAGAGCGAGGCGTAGCCTTCTCCTGAAGACAGCGTTCTCTATCAACGACGAACTGCTCCGTGGCATTTCCATGAGGAAGTCTTTGCGCAATGCAGGAAGCCTGTGGCGCATTTCTCCTTCCGATCTGCAACAGAAAGACAGGGCTGCCTTAAGGCACTGTTCAGCTCCGGTGAAGAGCTTTGACATATTTCTATCACACACGTGGCGCACACGTGGTTTCTGGAAATACTTGTCTCTCTCCTTTCACTACGGCTGGATGCACTGCATGATTGGATGGCTGGTCACGACTATGACAGTCGAGCTTCTCTTCCTCCTTGACATTCTACCATCGTTCTGGCAGTCTGAGGCTGGATCTTTTCTTGTCATGTTCTCTGCACCCGGGTCCGTGCGAAAGCAAGCTCAGGTCCATTTCCAGGACATCACGATTAGATACCCTTTCGGGGGTTGGGCCGTGAGTCTTGCAAACCTCGTTTCGCTTACAGCCTTCTTCTTGGCACCCTACTTGCCCGACTTTCGCAGAGCGCAGACTTGTTTTTTGGACGTTGCCTGCAACCCAGCAAGCTGTGCACAGCTAACTTATCAGGATGTTTCAAGCTTGTTTGATTCCCATGCATAGTTTGACTTACCCGTCGTGACAGCTCCGAAGAGCAAAACTTTGAGCCAGGTATAGATCAGGTGGACCCGGAGATTATGGAGCAAGGCGTCTACGGGTTGGGTGCTTTTCTGAAAGCCTCAGCAGAGCTGCGAATACTCTGGTCGGATCCTTGGTAGGCTGCTGCAAGGCTTATCCATTTTGCCCAGGGGTCTTCACAAACACACTCAGGCATTTCTTCTCGCAGTAGTATCATAACAGCAGCAATTCTCAAGCTCGTAGCAAGAACAGAGCTCCCTGGGTTATTGCTGCGGCTCCTCCTCCTCCTCCTCCCTCCTCCTCCTCCTCTAGTCACCGTGTGTGGCTTTCTCTGTTGTCTGTTTTACAGGGTTGATGTTCTCGCAGGTCTAGTTTCAGTTTGATTCCCGGCTTCGTCCCAGAGTTAAGATGGGGAGGTGAGGAGTTGTTGCTGGCAGAGCTGGATTGTTGCTGAACTCAGGAACCATATCTGTCACGGTACTTGGAAAGCAAGAGTACGATTTTGCTAAAGGGTAGTCCAAAGGAAGTATAAGCTGCAGTCAGATTAGATGAGGATCTTGTGGTCTCGTCGTTTCGTGGCCGGAAGAGCAGGTTGTGGTGTGTGTTCGAGGTGGCCGCCTATCGAACTGCAAACCCAACGGGCAAGATCACTCTTGCACCGCTTTTTGTGGAGGCCACGGTGGCTGCCCTGTGGATGGGCAGCTGGGCTGTTCCACTATTGTACATGCTGGCGGTGAGAGTGGGCATGACCATTGACTACGCCATGCTCCTGGCTTTTGTGCCTCTCTTTCTGGGCGTCCACTTCCTTCGGGCCAGCTTCCGGGCCAAGCGCAGGCTTCTGGAGGAGCCCACAAAGAGCATAAGGCTGCGAGATCAAAGACAATCAGGAAGAAACGCCATGAGGTTGAAGAGCAGGCTGCCAAAGTCAATGTAGCTCAAGTTTGTCGCAAGAGCCGTGACTGAAGAATCTTGCAGCTTCCCGTGGGAGCTGCCGTGACTGCCGTGACCCTGCGAGGGCACCGTCCCGGTATGGAAGTGTATAGCATAGCTACAAAGCACTGCCTCATCCAAGCTGGCAATGTCACATGGTCACGAAATCAACCAGGAAGTCGCAACATGCAGCGAGCAAGGCTGAAAGCGTCAAGGACAATTCAGAATGATGCGGTTCGCACATGCAACACTGGCTCACTGTGTGGCTGACAGACGTACCAGGTTATGGGGAAGGTTGTCCAAGTCACTGTGGTTTCTATGCTTCAGCCACTTTTACGTGCTGCATGGCGACACGCACAAGAGCCGATCCACTACATGCGACCAGCATGTCAAATCCGAATTGCTTTCCTTCTGCACGGCAGTGTCACGTCTGGTCCGACTGTACCAGGTCATTAAGTTGGCCAACTTCGTGTTGGTTGTTTTCGCGACCAGCTAGAACCGGAAGCAACCCACACCGCACCATCCAGAGCCGGAGCAGACAATGCAAAAAGTCAAGCATGTAGTCAAGCTGGGGAAAGCTCTCGATCACTTGCTGCGACTGCCCTCTTACTGAGGGGGGGGGTTCACGATATCCAAGCAGCCAACAGCAGCGGGCGACAAACAGAGACACAAACGCGCACACACACGCACGCGCACACGCACGCACACACACACACACACACACACACACACACACACACACACTCGCACACACACACACACACACACTCGCACACACACTCGCACACACGCACACACTCGCACACACACGCACACTC